GAACATATGAACCGATTCTTATTACAATGGTATTTATCCATGCAAGTTAGTTTATTCTTTTTTTTATCAATTATACATTATCTTACATTGTTTATTTATTTTTTTAAGTTCGTTCTTTTTTGTTTAATTTTATTTTTTTTTAAATTTTATTTATTATAAAAAAATTAACATAATTTCAAACTAAAATATCTTTAAAAAAAACGTTTTTTTTCTTACTGATTTAGCAGATAAATAAGTAAATTTTTGATATCTCATATGGCTGCCAGTATTTTTCATATATCGGCGAGAAATTTTTTCCGAGTAAGTTACTTGATAATCAAAGTAAAAGTGGATCGCTGGCAGCATTCGGAGTTCTTAATCGCAGATGAAGTCGAATCTTGATATCTCAAAATGACAATCTAAGCTAATAATCGACTGTCTTGTCTCTAATTCAATAAATAAACTAAAATTGAAGAAATTTTCGAAAAATTTTTTATTTTTTAATAGATTAGAAGAATTATAATTATTTTTTATCACAGAAAAATTTATTTCTAAAGAATTTTTTTCCGATTACCGAATGTTGCAATATAGAAAATACAACTGAAAAGTATAGCATTAGTTAATTTTACTACGTTTTTCCTTAGTAATTCAACAAGTTGCAAGAAATAGAACAAAATTCAAAAGTTATTTTATTTCTATTCTGTGGAATATAAGCTTCAATATTTCGCTTTTTTTAGAACATTCGTAGTTCCAATAATGTATATTTTTACGCACTTATTTATTTATTGAATTTTGTGATAATGAGGATCTCATTTAGTTGAATATGGGATACGATTAGTTTCATCATTTATATACTTCTTTAATTATATGCATGCATATAATATGTAGATGAAATTCCATGCACATTTTCAAACATGCATTTATTTATTTATTTACGTAATCGAGATATTACGAAAAGCTTTGTTTTTCTTTTTTTTAAAAATATTTATGCATTCGATAGCATTGATATTTATAATTATTATAATCCTTCAACTAATCTGTGGTTCGCCGCTGATAAACTAGTAATTAACAAATTAATAAGAAGAATCAATTTATTTAAACTTATAATAAACATTCATTGCATCTTAAAGCAAATGTGAGAATTCAGGGTTTTCGGAAATTTTATTAATACCCATTCACTTAATCTTCTATGGAAATTTTTATGAAACGAGATCTTAATTATTCATTTTTTATTGGATCACAATAATATATTTCGCTTTTTCTCATAGATTTCTAATAAAATGGTGGAATGGGTTGTTGTGCAGATTACTATATTGAAAGCCAGAAGTTCAGATTCCATCTCTGATAGAAGCAAGCACCAGCGATTCACCTGTCGCTGAGAGTAACGACAAAATGAGCCTGGCAAAAATTTTACTGCACTAATAATCACTGAATAGAAAAGAGATCTTGCTCTGGCATCTAAAAAGCTGATAATTATAATCCGAATAGTTTTTTCCAAAAGAAAAGCTACGTGAAGTAAAAGTAATTAGATGTCATTTACATGCCTATTGCTTTTAAAATTTAGTCTTGTGTAAAAACTTTCTTCTTTCTGTTTGTCTTTATACATGTTACTTCGCTTTTTTTAAATTTTTCAGACAAATATTCAAAGGAAGCCAAAAATGAGGTTAAAGATGCATTGAGGATAATCTAATAAATAAATGAATAAAAGGTCAGCATTTGCGGGTTATGAATAAAACCGCTTATATGTGAACTATACTGGGAATCCAAACTATTCTAAGGTTATAGTGAGGATTAAATGAATGAGATTTGGAAGTGCATGTATTTGTCTTTATCTTTAAAATCTTAAAAGTGATCTTTGCTGCAAAATTTTTCTTCATAACAGATTTTTTTTCTCCGTTACCTCACTTTAGAAGTTAATAGCCTTAATATTTATGATTTCACGCACCATTTATCACTAATTTCAGATAAAAACCATGCAGTTCAAAAGCAAAAGTTTCAAATTTTATCCGATTCTATCTACAATTCGGATAATTTATACCAGAATTCCATTTTCAGTCTTGTGTCGCTAAGAAAATTTAATATCCAATGTTACAATTATATACTTAGCTATAAAACAATAAATTAAATGTACAGAGCATCATTTTTCATACTGAAGCTAATATTCCTCAAAAATCAATCAAGTCGCTAGTTTTTATACATAACGAAATTTTCAAGATTGAACGCTTGTGAATTTTGAAGCATACATCGCAACTAACTGAGCACATTTGAAAATTAATTTAGATCGATAATAAAGAATATGATTCGGTAAGAAGATAGCTGATGCTTTCCACGTTTTTAAACTTAAACTTGCCATTACGAGATGGAAAAAATTAAAATTCATTTGGCAGGACAGAATTATTATAGGTTGAAATTATTCATTTAATGATATTTCTCAGCAATATGTATGTTATCGCCATAAAAAAAAGCCTCTATGTGAAATACCAATGTTCTTCAAGATTAATCCATTTCAATCCAATTCATTAATTGGATAGCTTAACAGTTGATAACTTTAAAATAATGATTCGCTATAAGAAAACATAATTTTCTAACCTTTAAAGTAAACCTTTTTGAATGAAAATCGAATGAATGAAAAACAGAACACAGTTCGCGTACAAATAAAGTTTATTATGCATTTTATCGAAATTTTTGCTTTTTCTTCTCTATTTTTCTTTTGCTAAGAACGCTCACCAAATCTGCTTACGATGGTTCGTCTGGTTTGCTGGATCAGACCAATTTTTCCAAGAAGCCACTTGGCGATAAAAGTGTAGGTAGTCTCCAAAATCATCTGGATTTTTGAAAGACGGATTTACTCTTACCAGAAGTGGAGCACGAGCATTTGTGTTCCAAAATGAAGGCAACAACAAAGTGAGCCATTTTAGCTCATTTGATCGATTCATATATTCATATATTCAATTCCAATCTAATCAAAAAAACCGCCATCAGTTTTTGTGCTTTCACAGATTGAGATAGCATATTTCTGAATTTTGCCTCTTTAATTCTCATTATCTGTAGCCTATTAGAGCGATGAGCGATAGGAAAAGTCCGCACTTCATTTCATTGAAAATTTTTTATGAAATTTCGGTTTTAATCTCTAAGATTGATATTATTTATATATGGCGTCAATAATTGTGCCCGACGATGCATGATTATTTGAGGGTTTCAATAATCATATCAAAATTATATCAAAAAACTTGTCGGAAGAAAAAATTTAAAATTTAACGTTGAATAGCCAAGCTTGATTTAAGCAGCGGTGCTATTTTATCTGGCCAATTTTGTTGCAAAATTTTCTTCTATCACACCGACAAGATACCATAATCTATTTTCTGTGATCGGTTGACATAGAACTTTTGGCTTTTACCGTCATTGATTATTTAATTAAAAGGTTCCCATTGACATTTATGGTTCGATTATGTTAGGTAAGGCTGATTTTGAAGCCGACTTTCATCCGCTTCCGGTGCTTCTTCTTTTAGGAAAGCCTTAACCGAGTCAACAATGACTACAATGTCGACCAGATCATGCAGTAAAGAAGCATTCTCTGGCTAGCTGAAAACAAATCGGTATTTTATGGCAATAACTGACAGTGACAAGTGCATTATATTTTATACCAAGTGATGCTCCTTTGTCGCTGATACATATTATACGATATCTTTAAAACTGAATCGCATTTATCACTTTCGAGTGATCACTTCGGGACAAACACTATAATTCTGATTAAGAACAAAATGCAGCTGGTGCTCAACCCATCTACCAATATCTCTACTTCAAGAAACTTCATCTTTTCATACTGGTCTCATCTCAATATTCTACATAATGGAATCAGCTAAAACAGGAATCGTAAATGCTGTTGACAAAAAAAATGACATAAATTTGTTTAATTTAAGTTATAATTAATGATATTTATTTTGCGAGCCCTCTAGCACATATTTGAAAGAATTTCATCATTAATATTGTAAATAATATAGACATTATAATTATTAACAAATCTTAAAAATTGATGATTTTCGCTTAATGAGGAATGGTTGTTGTTTTTTCTTTTCAATTTTTTCACATTTTACTATTTTATGTAATACAATTATATAGTATACAAAATATACAAAATGTAGATGTAATACTTTTTATCCAATATGCGATATATCGTTATCGCTTAAATTCAAGTTTCTTCACAAATTCTTAATGAAAAACAGAATGGGAAGATTTTTCCTTAATTCCTTTGCATATAGTGTTGGAAGAATTTCAATTTTTTAAATGCTTTTCAATTTTTCTTTGGAATACATTTGATGAATAATATAAAACAATAAATTCCTTTAGAATATGTCACAAAACAATCCTCTATTTCCGCCAACTCGTCCATTTTTCCAAAATTTTCCTGGATTAAGCCAGCCAGAAACGTCAAATGTTACACCAGAACAGGTGAATTTTTTTTTGGAAATGTTAAGAATTTGGTGTTTCTCAATGATTTTAGGTTATATAGACATCTTATATACATATATATATATATATACAAATTTTAGGTGTAGAAAGTTTAATCAGCTTTCATCAGTTAAGAAAATTTGAAATATATTATTAATTAATGACTAATGGCAAGATCAAAATTACATATTATCTCGTTTAAATAATAAGTATTATCGAAATGAGAATTTAATGATAGGATAAAATGGTTAATTGTATGGATAGAATACTTCAAATTCTTTATAGGTAATCAAACTTTGTGAGCAGTTAGAAGAATGTGGCAATGTTGAACGGTTAGCTGCGTAAGATTTTAACTTTTTTTTCCTCAAAAATATTTGTACTTTGGATAACAATCTCTTCGCCTAGTTCAAGTATAAGATGCTCTAAGCATATTGAAAGAATTTTCATAATTTGCAGCCATTATTTCATAAATGTTTAAAAAACCATGATATATTGCCATAGCCATTTGCAGAGTCATAACAAATGAATGGAGTATATTGTATTAACATCAAATAAAATTGTTATTCAATAATTTCAGCTTTCTCTGGTCATTAGCTCATCAAGCCTCGCATAATGAAGAAATGAATAATGTATTGCGGAATCATGAATCTATATTGCGAGCCAGAGCACTTGTCGCCTTTCATATGGGCAATTTTCCAGAATTGTATCGTATATTAGAGTCACATAAATTTACAAATGGATCACACAGTAAGTTACAAGCAATGTGGCAAGAAGCACATTATCAAGAAGCGGAAAAGCTTCGTGGAAGGTTATTACTCTAAACAGTATTAAAAATAAATGATTATTGAGGATTTTCGTTTTTTTTATAATAGAAAAATATATTTTCTTCACAAACTTGGATTGTAGCAAAAATTTCTAACTATAATCAAAAAATTTTACACTATTTCCGCCAAGTTAACTCCAGATACTTCGATAATCTATAATGAACTTTGGAGTAATTGCCAGAATTTTTCAAAATGCTTGGTAAATCTTGCTGAAATCGCCTCTAAATGATGAAGAAAAGTGATAAAATTTGAAATTCAGGCCGTTAGGACCAGTCGATAAATACCGCGTAAGAAAAAAATATCCAATGCCACGGACAATATGGGACGGCGAGCAAAAAACGCACTGTTTTAAGGAGCGAACCAGGTATTCTTTTAATATTTTGTCGAAAGTTTTTTTAGCATCCAATGACCATGAATGATTAAATTATGAAATTCATTATGGATTATTTTTTACAGTCGCCAGCTACTATTTCGCATTAATTTTAAATTATTTTAGATCAAATCTTTGCTTTTAACTGGCTTATCACATTTGAATTTTTCAATTCCTTTCGCAAATTCGATAGAATATTAAACTAATTATAAATTGCAAGTTGAAAGAATCGTTAGGAATAATAAGAAATCAGTAAATGAAAATTCTTAAAAACTGCACTAAGAAGGCTAGGAAAATAATGCATTTTAAAATGGGCAATGGCCACATGACTTGGATATTCGAAATATTTGATCAGTTTTGTAAAATTAAAGATCCTTATTACGTGAATGGTACTTACAAGATCCATATCCAAATCCGAGTAAAAAAAAGGAACTAGCTTCGAAAACGGGTTTAACAGCGATGCAAGTGGGTAACTGGTTCAAAAATCGACGACAGAGAGATCGAGCTGCTGCCGCAAAGAATAAGTAAAATTTGTATTTTCTTTTGGTAATTTCAGAACAATCAATTTTCTTAACATATAATTTTTAATAATTAGTAATAATTAAATAATTTTTAGAATTTTTTAATTTTCCAGCTGATCATTTCTTAGTGAATCAATGTTAGCAAAAAATTCTAATATTCATATATATTGAGAGACCGCAGTTTTTTCTTCAATATTTCTTCTTTATATGATTATATTTTATTAAATTCTTATTAGTGCAAAAATTGTTCAATTTAGCTGGAAGATCATCTTAGCAAGGCCATGAATAAATGTTTTGATAGGTCAAAACAATTATGACAATATCCAAATAGTTTATTCATTCCCGATGAACTGACCCAATAAGACTATATATATTTATATATGGATATATCTATCGTGATCAATGATATTCCTTGACTCTTTCATTTTTGGTCGCACCGAAGATTTATTAAGAAAAATAGCAATATATTGCATTATTACCTTCATCAAAAACTCGAATACTAAAAGAGGCATTAAGTTAATGAGGATTAAATCAATCATGCGATAAATTATCGACTATATAGTGAAGTAGTTTAAAGTGAACTGATCTGACGACCACTCAGTTTAAAACAAATGCAAGTGCAAATTCAGAAAGATTTGAAAACACTGGTTTGATACAGCTCCTTGCCTAGTTAATAGCTACTTTTTCTTAATAGAATCATGGAATCAGATTATTTGCTTACATAGGTTAGGATAAATTTTATATTTACGATGTCTTTTTTCGGTCTTTCTGGATTTTTCTTATGAGTTTAATAAAAAATATAATTCACATAAAAGACTTAAATCTGAATGCAAATGCCAGTATATTCCTATAACAGGAAGCGGAGCCTCTTACATTCCTATAGTAGGAAGAGTAGCCTCTAATCTTTAAATCAATTTTGAATTGTTTTTGAATATACCAGTCTCATTTCAATGGTACAAGAAGAATAAGTTCATTCTTGTTTTTCGAAATTTTCATCCATTAATTCTTCAAAAAGCAAGGCAATATAGCTTTTATCATATTTAGTTATTTAGATGATCACTGGAATTATAACATAAACGCTTCATTACAATAGAACTCGTTTTTTTTCGATAGGATACTGAAAATTCGATAATTGACGTTGTAATATAAACGTATACTTTATTCCTTTGTAATGTCGTAGTTTAATCAATTTTAAATTGATACTCAAAAAATATTATTTATGATAAATGATAACTATAATTTATATTTTCTTAGCGATCATTTTCACTGATAATATGTAAATCTATGCAGATATTTTATTAATTTAGTATTCTAAATATTAATTTTATTTGCTTCAATAATCAAAAATACCTCACCTTTTTTTTATACTATTTATACTATTATACTATATTTTTTGTACAAAGTACTTTTTTTAATAAGTGGGACGATCGGCAGTTAAAAAAAATAAGCTACTCAGTTTTTCATGCATTTTTTCATCTCAATTTCAAAATTCATTTCAATTTATTTGAAAATCGAATAATTTAATTAGTATATGCCATGTATATTCGTGCAGACTATATCATTAGACTATATTAGTCACGCTGAATTTATGAATTTCTTTTTCGTTTAGATCGAAAAATTTAGAAGCTTGAATTCATTGATAAATGTGAATTAAGTTTATCGTAATTGTTTTGGTAGTTTAACAAATAAACTAAAAAGTTAAGCAAGAAAATTTGTGAACATTTAATTTATAAAATTAGCAAATAGCTTCAACAATTTGAAAATATCTCATAAATTACGTCTCATGAAAAATATATTTTTTGATTTTGAAATGTACTAGAGAGATATTATTGCTATTGTTAATTTCAATAGAAATAGACGAGAAAATAATAATAAGGATAATGGAGTCAACTTTCTAATTTTCTATTAAAAATGAATCAACTGAAATATGAAAACCAGAAACGATGAAGAAGGCATTAAAAAGACCTTGAATACTACTTTTCGGAATATTAAGCCATCAAGTTCATTCACTTCTCATAATTATTTCAAAATATATTAATTAAGGGAAAATATATTTCTCAAAATTTTTCCACATTTAAAATCTTTAGAACAGGATCGTATAAATTTAAACTATTGCCTTTTAATCAATTTCAATCAGATCATTTCTATTCATTACTGTACCCTTCATATTTTCATGTATTTGCTAATATTACTATAAATATGACAACATTTGTTAAGATCATTGTTGCCTTCAGACTTCAGGCTGAAATTTTCTCGACATGACAAGTGTGCTCGGCAAAGAGTTAGACGAAGAACTCTAAAATAGCCCATAAATCAACTGAAATATGAAAACCAGAAACGATGAAGAAGGCATTAAAAAGACCTTAAGGCCCATAAAATAATTAACTTAACCAGATTTAGGATGTAAGTTCGTAAATTAATTTTCTTTGGTATATATTTTTTTTGCAATGAACATTTCAAGATTTTCATTGATGACAAAAAATAAGGATTTTTGATTTCAGAGCAGAATTATCAAAACAAGATCATGTTTCCTGTTATCCATACTTGATAATCATCGGCTTTCAGAAATTCCATAATCGTATTGTAGCTGCTCTATAGCCTGTAGGAGCAGATGCGAAAATAATAATACAAGATACAATAATATAATAAAAATATAAATATAGACATAATAAAAATAATGAAATAATAAATTATTTAAGGATATAACAGCAAATTAATATGTGATGCAGATAATGTATAATTTTATTTTAATGGATATCATAGAGCATTTAATCTTCAGCTTACCAAATCACTCACTGCCTTCTTTACCGTGTTAATAGATAACAGCATAAAACTTACTAGTACTTTTATCATCTTATGTCAACCTTTTTTTGGACCTACCGTATCGATTTCAATTAGATTACCGTAACTCTAGAGAACTAGAGTTTGTCATGAAAACGGGTTGAATTACACAAATAAAATTCATTCGACGGCGAATTGAAAATTATTTACGATGAAAGAAAATTAGTTGAAAATCTGACGAATTACTCCTCGTTGAATTCTTATTTTTTTCTTTCAAATTATCATCAGATGGATAATTTAACATTCGTTGAAAAACGAGAATGATTATTGTACAAACTTCCTTTCGATCGTTCAATCATTAAACTGAGCTTGTTTAAATGTTTCTTTTCCCTTTGCATACATTAATTCCTATGATCAAAAAAAGAAATCTATTATTATAAGAATATTAACCAACACTAATTACTTTTCCCGAGGAAAATTTTTTATGTGGTGATAGGAATATTTCACAAATATTCCTATCACAAATATTCTTTTGTATTTTTTATAATATTTCCCAAATAAATATTTATTTATGTTTAATAATTTATTGGTGGTGTTTTATAACAAAAGGGCGAACAGTAATTATGACACCAAAATCAATCAGCCATTAACCATATAATTAAATATATTTTTCACATCAAATTATTATCCATATCATTTCGATTTCAACTTGATGATTTACAAGATACAACTTATTTTCTAATAAGCTATTAGCTATTTTGAAAATTTTATTAATTCATCGTCAGTAGTAGAAAAACTAATGAAAAATGGTCAAATTTCAAGAATTAGAACAAATGCCTTATAATTCATCTGAAAATACATCCTTCATTATATTTGAATTTTTGAATTTTCCAATATCTGTATCGTTTTTTATCAAATAGATTTGATTATAATATAATTATCAATTATTAATCAATGAAAATATCTATTAATCAAAAAAGTTTGATAATACGATTTTTTTTCAAATTTTTTAGTTCATTTAACTTTTGCTTTAGGGCAAATGGATTGGACGGTGATAAGATAAGTACTCAATCAATGAATTCCGATGACTCTGAAATCGATGATGATGAGGACGATGAATTGTTTTCTAATTCTATCGCTTCTAATAATTCAGAAGGCGAGACGGCAAAGGCAAGAGATTTAACCTCAAAAAATGAAAGTCAGTTGCCTTCAATTAATTCATTCGATCCGATGCGATTAGATCCATTTCGATTGTTTTTAAATCGGAATCTTAATTCAGCGCTTCAGTCTGGTTTTAACCCGGTTCATCAAGCGACCGCAATGTCCCTACATCAACATTTAACAGTGCCATCAATTTCTTGTCAATCGTTGCAATCACCATCATCACATGCATTATCATCACTCCCGCTGCAACAGCAAAAATTTCAACAAAATCGAACCCAGCAACAACAAATTACAAACCAACCGCACCAACAGCAAACAACGTCTAATAAACGCTCAAAACTTTTGATCGATGAAATATTAAACTTAAAATCGAGCTGTCCCGACAAGCGTTCATCAATTAACGAAAACAGTGATGATGACGGCAATCTATTAGATCAGAAAAACGCTGATAAAGGAGATAAAGGAGAAAAAGATGGCGGCTCTATCGAGAATAATTTTGTTGAGAAATGATATTCCACAAAAGAAAATACGACTATTTGTTAAATTTTGGGTGAATAATGCTCAAAAAAATGTTAATGAAATTAATAAAAACAGCAAATTATTGATTTCTTAAAATATATTTATTTAACTGGTACTTGACATAAATGAAAGATTTTTGAGGCTCAAAGTAGCCTTTCGAGTTGTTCCATGATAGATTAAGAAAAAAGGATAAAAAACTTTTTGCTGGGTGAAATGAAGAAGTGCGAAGTGGAGATTAGTGGAAAACTGTGAAAGATTATGTCCATTAAACACCGTCTGTCGCATTTACATTTGGAATTCTATTGTTTATTTGGGTAATCTATAATACTGGTTACAAATCAGTGAAGACTGAGAGAAGATAAAGATAAATATAAGAAGTGGAAAAGAAAACTTATTTAATGTTTTTCGCTTTTTAATTTTTTTCTACGAAAACGACATTGTTAATTTGAGAATTAAATCGCGATTAAATAGATTAAATGGTCTGAGTTTTAGGTCCAAAGTTCTGGAAGGATTCGTTCTCAAAATCTGGTTTTTCAAGACAACGCTTCTTAGACCATAATCTACGGCAGAATCTACAAAACAATAGGGCTAAGAAACTTAATAGTGCAATGAAATTTCTTATCACCTTCGCAATCATTCAGTTTCATCCAACAAGAAGTTAAAAAATTTGAACAATTCGTGGGCTTCAATAATTAAACGATAAATTGTATATATCGCAAATGATTTTGCTGGTCAATTGCTATAAATGATCCAACTGGCATTATTATAAAACCGTTTTTAATGTCGGTATGGAAAAAAATAATTGTGCAGTACTTTCTTTGTAAATTAGATACTCAAATTTTTGGATGCTTGAAATGATCACCTTTTTTGCTATCAATTGAACTGATGTCGAGCGAAAAATCTGAAATTTAGCAAAAAAGTTATTTTCATTTAGGTAATTGAAGGTCAGCTCAGTTTTCCGGTAATCTCTCCTTATCAAAACGTCACTGTTTTAATGTTCATCACTCTGATTGAGCACATTTGAACCCTCGAAAAAATTTGTATTGTTCCACAGAACAGCTTCACAGTGGTGCTGGACTTATCAATCTCATCAGTATAATCATCCCTACCAAAAGTGATTGAGGTTAGCTTTTTTATTAAGTAATTACCTTCTAGAAACTTAATATTCTATGAACATGAGATATTCTGTTCAATATGTATGAATGGTGCTGCAGTCAGTTGTTGATTATTTCGTCATTGTGATGCTATCAATTTCTCCAACTTTCATTACTGCAACAAAATATAATAATAATGAATTCTTCCATAGAGGTCATTTGATCTCATTTTTCTTCTAAATTATATTGTTGACAAATTTAATAGAATTTGAAAATTGGTAATAAATATAAGTTAAGTTTTTATGAAATGTTAGTGATAAAGCAATAAGGTGTAACAGTTTTTGAAAAGATTCATTGTATTTAGCTGCTAAATAAATGTATAAATTTTTAAAATTTTATCTTATAAACGTTTATTTCCCTTAAAACTTTTTGAGCTAAAAATATAAAAACGTTTGTAGCGATATAACATTGGCTTATAAATGGCTTAATTTTCATAAAATCGAAAACAATGGAATTTAATTAGATATTGTGTTACAATTAATTTGTTTTCCTTGTTTTGTCATTTGTTGTGTGTATATTAATTATAGGAATATTGAGAAAATAAAATATTTCAGATAAATTCATCGATGTGAATAGGCTTGCAAATTTTGAGTGAAATATAGAATGAGGTTTAGATTAGAGACCTATTTATCTACGCAGTAACTAACTCAGTTGATCGATTGAAAAATGCCTAAGCGGATAATCTCTATTAATTAAAATGCAAATACAAAACAATGCTTGATGTTTAAAATAAAACTTAAAAGATACACATCACATAAATCGCATTAGGTGATTTCTCGAGATTATTCTAATCTTTCGATAATAAAATTCAACTTTCAATATATTACATCTTCTAAGCATACAATTTTACAGAATCATGCAATAGTCTTTAATATATTTTTGGTAATTTCTACTTTAGATTTGTCTCCTTCTTATCATAAAACGTCACATAATTAATTAATTCAATTTATCAGTTTCTACTAATTTTGATGAAAAAATTTTTCTTCTATATATATATGCATAATAAAATAATAAAATAAAATGAGTGAATAAGCAAAAGTTCGAAATTAAATTTTATACTGCCGGATAATAGTTGAGTATCATCAGCGACATCATGCCTCATCATCGCATCAATTTATCTGAATTGAGATGGCATTTGTCATTATTATAAAGTACATATAACATAAAATGCTCATTAGTGACCGTATAAGAGCGAATACACTGAATAGCGCATGCTCAATTATACTAATTGATTGAATTTAGCACATTTTTATGCAAAATGCTTTTCATCACAATAACATATTATCGTTAATGATCTTTATATTGACAACAATCGCCTTTTCTATAAAAATCCCTTCTGGCAGTTATCGTCTTTTATTGATCCTTCAATTATTTCAGTTATTACCTTGGAATATTCGTTAAATATATAATATTTGTTAGAATGCAATATTCTTCTAAGCAGAAAAAATTGTTTTTTCTTCGCCAGTAATAATGAATGCAACTTGTAGTGTCGTATTCCGTGTTCATGGAGAATAGCAATAGCAATCTTATTGAGTTGATAGGGAAAGATTCATATGTTTTCCCGAACAACACTCAGCTTTAATCATTCGTCAGACTCGTTTCTGCCTCCAAAATATGCATCGCTTCTAGTATTTTTAAAAATAAATACCTCTTGCAAAAATTTTAATGGTTCTCATTTCAAGTGATTTTCGAATTGAAAGGCATTCTCATAAATGTTTCAAGCAAAAAATTATAGATTTTGAATATCAATTTAATTGTTATAAATGCGAAATGAATCAAATCTTGAACAAATCTCATTTCATTGCATTTTTTTCCTGAGATAACATTAGTTAAACCGATTAAATCGATTTCATCATCATCTAAAGCATTCATCATGCCTGGTTGGATCTTTTGCTCACTAGAATGAGGCTCTTTCGCCCGAGAAACACGGAAAGATGAAAGTTAATCTTTCTCAAGCTCAAGTTCGGTATTTGAGTCGCAGTTATGTACCATCTTAATAATTTGATATGAATCTACTTTTGAACGAGTATATTTATTTCTTATTTAAGTAATGCTACGGTGTTACAGTTGCGTAAATTGCTTTCCATTTGTTTTAGTTTTAATTAATTTGAATCGGAACTGCTCGAGAAAACTTTCCTTTTATTTTTAATACTTAGACAATCATATTTTCCTCTCGCATCTTTAGAATAAGTTATTTCGCTTCATTCCTGTTTCATTTAATTCTCGTTCAGCGTTCATAAAGCGTTGTCTTATTTTGTATCTTGGAAGGCGATTTTTTTCATTTTCATGCAGCGCATCTTTTGCAAAATTCAGAAATTCAAAATTCAGAAGGGTTTTTAAAAAAACAAATATTGTGAAGGATTTTTCGTAGAAAAACAGTCAATATCAATCTGCAAACTATTAGTTGTATGAAAATCTTCAGAAAAATCGGTATCGGTCAAATTTAATGAAAACAGCGTTGCCAAATAACTGATCTTTTCGGTGGTTATACAAATAGAAAAAAAAGCATCATTTTTCACTTTTGGCTAATTCTTATAAGAAAATTTTTTATAAGAAAATCCTACTGGTTGTCTATAATTTTTATTTTTTTTTGGTTGCAATTTGTTTATTTTCTTCATTCTGCGTGTTACATCTGCGATGGCATCACAGCATTTCATTTACTTAGAGCGATATTCATAGACATAAAATTGCATGCTTCTTATTTCAGATTTATTTTTTACGAAAACAATCCAAAGATTTTGAAGGAAAACCTGTGAATTCGATCGACTACAAAATATGCGACAAAGAAAATGGCGAAGACTTTCTAAAACACAACATCTTAATGGATTTTTCGCCAATGTAAAGAATCCAAGCAAACGACAAAACAATCAACTCAAACTTGGATTGTAAATTAACCAAATTTTTTTTTGTTTATTAAGGAAAAAGTGAATAGGATTCGTATCAAATAACTCATAAGAAACATTTTGGTTGTTTGAATCTCTGTGGTCGGATCGACTTAAGGATTAATAATATCAAATTTAAATAGTCCAGATTTTTGGAGAAAACCATTTTCTTAGCGATTGATTTTTTTAGCCTGACACGTGGAAATACTTATAGCGTGGTTACTATCTATTAACTATTACAGGAACGCCAAAAAGTGGTACTTATCAAGAAAGTGAAAATTGCCACAATTATACATTTTTTCTTCTTTTTCTTCAAGAAATTTCATTTTAATTTTAATAAAACTTTTATATTGTTTTCTTTCGTAAAAAAGCAAGTCATTTAATCAAAATTTGGAATTATTTTCTGTGCTCTGTTCTCAAAATAAATTAGCGATTCAAAATAACCAAATTTTGTTGAAACGAGATCGCCAATGGAAATTTCTTTCCATTATTATTTCCATGAAAATCTTAGAATATTGGAAATTAAGTGCAATCAGAAATTTTTCCAAATTAGAGCAGTGGGCACATGCGAAAAAATACAACTAAGTGAAATATGAAATCCTGGCTTTTCACTGTGGATTGAAACCATTTGATATGCTTCAAACTCTGGTTTTTGAGAAAACCTCTCGCCAATCTTTTCTTCAAATACTGACTTATCGTTCCTGAGACTCCACTAATTTCCTTCAATAATCCGCCTAATATACCTAATTGCTATAATTTTTTTTGCCACACCTAGTAGTTTTTTAACCACTTAGAACTTCTTATGGTTCCTTAACATCACTAAGACGCAATATATTTCCTTAGCGCCCCTTTAAATCTTTCTACTTTTGCCATGTCTAATTACCATTTTCTTAAGCTTCATTTCTTACTCATCATTCTCCATCAAAAATCCTTCTGCATCTTCTTGCCACAACCT